ACTGTGGGTTTATTTATCTCATGCCGTCAACACGTAGCAACAAAGAGGTCATAAAACGAATAAGGAATTGGCTTTTTAATTTTTAATTTATTTATTACATGACAATAAAAAAAAGGATTAAAGAAAACACATTTTTGACTGCAGGCTTGTGTAACGTTCCCACCCTTGGCCCAGTTGAGTGACTCCCTGTTGGGCTCATACATCATGGTCTTGTTCCCTGTTGCTCGTCTGGGCTGTTGTGGTCTTGATTAGTTGATGCATTGGTCCTTTGTTGTCCTTGGTCTCTGCGGGACGCTGCTGCCATGGTGCTATCCCCCACGGACCACCTCTCCACACATAAGTCTAATCTTAATGCTGCTCCTGTGCTGCATTCAGGTCTGTTGAAGCTGCTGTGGTTTGGACTTCAGTCTTGATATCGGATTTGGATATGTTAAAGAAATGCCCTTAATTGCCAAGAGATGAGAAGATCGATACCGCTCTTATGCTTTTACACTAAATATGCAGCTACGGCCACTACACGATTAGCTTAGCTTAGCATAAAGTCTAGAAACAGCTAGCCTGGCTCTGTCCAAAGGTATCAAAATACACCTCCCACTGCCTCTAAAGCCTACTATACTACTGGCCACTACTGTGACTCAACCCTACTGTCCCCGTTTCCTCCGTTCATTCCTTTCTTCATTCCTTCTTGCCCAAACTCTCTCATCTCCTTCTTTAAATTCCTCCCTCTTACCACCATATCTTTCTTTTGTTCTTTGTTCCTTCACTTTTCTTTCTTCTGTGTTCTCATTTTCACTCATTGTCTTTCCACCCACTGTTTTTCATTTCTCCCTGTCCAATTCCCTTTTATTTTTCATGCCCTTTTTCTTGCTCAGCCTTTTTCTCTGCACTTCTTTTTTGCTTTTGTTTTTTTTTAGTCGATCTGAAGACTCTTCAAGGCCCGATTAGAGTGCACCACGCATGGAAAGGAGCGTCGTCTCCTTCTCTGCTTTCCTTTCCTTTCATAACCTCTCCCCGTCACTTTCTCTCTCAAGGTGCAGTCATTGTGCCTTGAGTGACATGTGAGACAGCGAAGGTCTCGTGAAGGTTGTCTTGTCATGTCTCTCAACATTCCGGCAGGTTATTTTGCCTTTAAGGTCCACCGTATCACACATATTCACACACACACACACACACACACACACACACACACACACACACCAGCAGGATTTTGATTGCCTGAGCTGTTTGTGAAGCAAAGCAGCAGGTTGTTGAGAGCTGCAAATGCCTCATTATGTAAGATTTGTTTACCAGATGCCAGTCTACAGTTTCAGTTGTCCTCTGGCTCGCTTTCTCTCGCACTCTGTCTCACTCTTTTACTTGCTGTAAGCTAAGATGTCTCTCTCTCTCTACCGCTGTCCCTCTGTCCCTTTTTCATACGTGCATTACAACTTTACATACACTGTGTTGACATCTATATATTCGTCTCTCTAACTGCTCTTCTTCCTGTCTCGTGTCCAGCCCAAGCAGCGCACCTCTTTGTCTTCGTCCCTGGACGTCCAGAGGCCGGTGAACCACAGCTGTGAGCCCAGCGAGGTGAGCTCGTCCCTGGGCTACGCCAGCTTCAGCACCAGCCCCCCTGCCAGCCCTCCGCTCAGCCCTAACCAGGAGGACTCTGCAGGCTCCAACGACGACTGTCAGCTCACGGGTAAGACTCATGAAGTGGGCAGAAGGGTGGGAGAGTGTTAATAAAGCTGTCGCTCTCAACTAGTGAGAGTGAGCATCGGCCCTGCTGAATTACACTCTTCCCTGACCTCTCATCTCCCCGTGGAGGAGGATCAGAAACACAAATATTTCCTCAATATGAAAAGGCTTGATATCAGGTCTCTTGACTGTCTGCTGTGCAGACACCAAGCAGAGCAATTCAATCGGACCTTATTATTGTTGTCATTCAAGGCTGAGGAGATACATGCTGTATATTCTAGATCTGTGGAATATAGTTTCATTGTGTATCTTAAAATGCCCATTTTCTCTATTAAGAGTTCTACGGAAAATGTAGTAAGAAATAAATTAATCCAATATGGGAAATCTGTGTAGAATACTTAAAGTCTCACCTCTATCAGCTGGTTCGTTTTTAGTGGTTGGGTTATTTCAGCCGCATTCAGTTGTGGCCTCAATAATGCACAAATCACACATTCACTCTGAACGTCCATACACTGAATGTCTGTATAATACTGTACCTTTTGCCTTGTGGTGCATTAACTTCTACACATTTTGATAACTATTATAATGCCTGTAACCGTTTTGCTACATGAAGCCCCCTATTTCATTCTGTCCTTGTCGCCTCAGTGCAGGTGTGGTTTAAACTCATTCCCTCTTGCCCTGCATCCCAGGATATTAAAATCATATTTCTACTCCTGTCATATGTGAGACCAGAGCCAAGAGGCAAACACCTTAGACTCTTAACAACAGATCTTAGAAGGAACCGGGAAAACTGCAACGTTTTTGTCTGAGGGGGAATTAAAGATGTGATTCAGAATATGCTGAAAGTGACCAGAAATATGCTAGTTCCAGAAATAACGTGGAAGTCTTTGTCAATTTAGCAGACAGGTTTGTGATTCCAGCCTACACCACTCTATGAGCAAGCCCTAAGAACAATTCTACACAGAGTTTTGACCTTTAGATAAACTCATGTGGGTTTGACAAATGTATGTCTGCACACCCTGACTTTAATTATAGCTGTTACTGGTGTAAGGCCTTGCAAAGCAAAATTCATACAAAACAAAGTGGTTCTAGAAGTGACGCAGTGCCTACTGGGGCTAGTTACAATACTGCAGCTGGCACGCTAACTGCTATCCGGGAACATAGTAATGCTAGTCACAATAGCGCTTAGCCGTAGCTACCTTGCCTTGATTAATTGTCTGTTGAAATGAATTGAATGTTTCAGCAAAAACATACTATTATTAGTATTAAATACAAAATGTAGTTATTTTTCAAGGAAAATTAGACTTTTCAGAGATTTTTTTGAAGTGAACATGTTTTTTATCTAGTGTATTGGTCTGTGTGTTTTACTGAAATTAGGATGCAAATGAGCACTTCAGGGGAAAAACTCCACCGGATATCTTAAAAACTGGGCTCAGCAAAAGATGCTCTATTAGTTGTGCTGGGAGTCTCTTTTACTGTCGGACCAGATGAAACACTCTAATGACACCCCCCCGCTGAGTTTGGAAGTTTCTCCTCCAAAAGGAATATTCCATGTAATATTGAGGTGTTTTCTCATAAGAATCTCAAAATGAGGGCGGCTGTCTCTGAAATCTGCACAAACGCACACGAGAGCTGGGCGACATTTCAATATAGTAAAATATCATCTTTCAATAGAATCGTATTGTAATGAAATCAAATATTGAGATGTCGTGGTACACAATTATGTCCTCAAATATCTCAATTTTTTTTATTTATTTTATAATAGATTATAATTAATTTTATTTAAGTTAATAACTAATTGAGAAAATTAATTATATTTAATTCAAACAAGAGAGAAAAAAATATGTGGTTAATTCACATAGACTATTTATTTATTGAATAATCAGAAAACATGCTATATTGTGATATATATCGTTATCAAGATGAAAAGACCTACAGTATATCTTGTTATGTTATGATGCGCATTTCAGTTATTTGACAATATAATTGTTTTTACATCATGAACCCCAAAATAGCCATTTTTTTGGGTAACAATCTTGCTAACATTTGATAAAAACAAGATTTATATGTCGCTGGAATATAGCAGTTTTCCACGTCGTGAGGACCCTTCGGTGTACCGACCTTCATTTCCTTTGTGTCATCTCCTAGTCACTCGCTTAATCCCTTACCGTAGCGATGAGATTCCTTGTTGTCACGGCAAAGTGGTGGCCTTGGCGATAGTTAGCCTGTGACGCGGCCGTGAGTACTTCCCCCTCTCACCCGCTGCTATCAGACACCGACAGAAGAGGCAAAGCAGGGAAGTCAACCAGGCGGGAGGCAATTTCTGTGTGTGTGTGTGTGTGTGTGTGTGTGTGTGTGTGTGTGTGTGTGTTTCATCCAGGAGCAGTTCAGAGCCACAGCTACACTTTGATCTGTGTAGTGCCCCGAAAGACAAATGCATTCATTATCAATCCACAGGTGGACACGCACACGCACACACACACACACACACGCACACACACACACACACACAGAGACGTAAACCTGAATGAGACATCTTTATCTACTATTCTCATTGAAGCGTTGCCATGGCATTTATGTAACAGGAATGTGTTATTTCCCTCTCAGACCAACATAATGAGTCTTCACTGATGTCAGACTGATGTCTCCTCAGGACAGACTGATGTCTCCTCAGGACAAAGACTGACGAGCAGTTATTGACCTCACTGTTGCAAAGCCCTTGTTTTTAATTTCAACACGTAAGCTTAATTTGCTGTACATCAAAGCAAATTTTTGGGAATGTGAAACTGTTGATCCATAGGAATGAATGACATCACTTAAGCTCTATTCGCTCGGGAATAGTGCTACCGAGGGACCTCTAATAAATTCTAATAAATTGAAAATATAACTGTTGATACGAACATACAGAACTTGAAGCACTGGAGGGATTTGAGTAGAAGTCAGATTGAATCTCTATCGAATGATTTACTGTGAGCAGGTAACAAGTACACTAATAGCAGGAAGTTATAAAGCACTTATAATAATATGTGTACATCTGTTTGTTTGACTTTCTCTATATGTGTCTCTACCTCGCTCTCCTCGCCTGAAGCCCCATAACCAGGAATAGATTGACACCCATTTATTTTTCCATTTAATTTTTTCCTCCTCCACCTCCTCCTCCTCCTGCTACTCTGCGCATCTCTCCTGCTCTCTTTACTTATTAGCTTTATAAGGCCCATTGTGGGGTTGCCATGGTAACAAGTGGCTTACAGAGAGAGAGAGAGAGAGAGAGAGAGAGATAGAGAAAGAGGGAGTATATATGTATGTGGGTACAGCAGGCAAAGAGTCACAGAATTCAAAGGATGCCAGTGAAAAAAGAGAGTGGGTGGAGAGAGAGAGAGTCTAATATTGCAGGGGGAGATGGGGGGTGTTGGGGTGATGATGAACAGAATCAGAAAAATGGAGAGAATGAAATGTGAGATTTCAGGGGGTTGGATAGAGAAATGAGGACAAGAAAGTGAAGGGAACACTTTTTTTTTTTTTGCCAGCGCACCATAAAAGGTCTTTCCTTCCTTCCTGTCAACATTTGTCTCTCTTCTTTTTATTCTTCTCATTTTCTTCCTAAAAAATCCTGAACCGCTCTTCGACACCAATCCAACATTTACACAATAGATCTCCGGCCCTGCAGCAGAGTATGCAGGTGTCGGCCACCTGCGTGGGCAGTTGGATAAAAAGGAGTCCTCTATTTATAACCTGATCCATCACTGGTGCTGCTGCTGCTGCTGCTACGGAGCTGCGGTTTACGTAACGTCGGACACTGCTGGAGAAGATATTCCCTCGGTGCAGAGTGCCAAGTGAAATGCTGTGTTAATGTAAAAGCAGTGCAACTGCAGATGCGGTTGTCCTCCATGAGTTATGCATTGGCCCTCTGCGACAAGTCCGTAACAAACTAATCCGCAGGTCTGTATTTACTCAACTGGAAGCTTTTAAGTTGCCGGAACACTTTGTAGCTTCTTCTCTTAATACATGTGTCATATTCTCCATGTTTTTGTCTAAAGATAACATTTAAAGCTGCACTAATCAATATTTTAGATAACCAATGGGTCGGTCGACTACATGTAATGTGACAGCGCTTGATAATTGCGATTAACTCAAAATAGCTTTTTAACTAGTTGAGTTTGTTTTGGTTTTACACACTGAAACCAAACTATTTTGTTTCATTCTTTACATTTTCATCACGTTGTTTCTAGAAGCAGAAGGCAGCTGTTTTAAACTAACTGTACACTACCTGCTCAGACAAAGTTAGTGACTAGCTAGTGAACAAAACGAAGCATTTAGAAGGAAAAGAGTCAGATATTTCCCTTCGTAATTGGTGGAGAACAAAACTGAGCAAAAAAGAGTTCAGCCAGAAACAGAACTCAAGATGAATGCGAATGTTACTCTTGCTTCTAAATTACCATAAGAAAATAAAATCGTCTGGAGTTGTCTTGGTCACTTGTGAAAAACAGGCACCTGAAAAAAAAACACGACTTCATAGTGCGATTGGCCGCAGAGGAGGCCGAGTGATCGATGAGCTCTTACGGTTAATGAGTCGTAAATGGCAAAGCGATTAACAGCTCTGTATGTGTGTGAGTGCCCGCGCTGGCTGTGTGTTTACGTGAAAGAGTTAAGTTCATTAAACCTCCGGTGCTCGACATCAACTCACAACTGCAAGCACGCTCGTCTGCACAGACGAACAGTGGGTCTGGCAGCCTGCTGTGACCAAATCATTAAGTCATACTCAAAGTCCGCAGTGCCTTTGTTTGCAGCATTAATGGGAGACTCATGCACACGCGCTCACATGCTCATGCTCTGTCTTTGTTACACACAATCACATTTGAAGCCATTTCCATTTTATATCTGTGCCAGTTCAGCATTAACGCTTCATGAAATAAACCTGCTATTAGTGGCCAGTGATATTCTCCATTATTATTATGACTGCCCATATATAATTATAATCATTGCTTAACAGGAACAAGTGTGCGC